GCAGTTGAATGTAGAGCTGTCAGCTGTATCCTCTGAATCGGCAGGTATGGAGGGAGATAGGATGCAAAAGCGGGTGGCGGCTGCGAAGGGGTGGGTGGTTGCCGAAAATGGTGTTCAGGCGGGACCAAAGTTGGTGGCTTGGGTAGTGGGAACGAATGAGGGTCGGAGCTAGTCATGGGTCATTGTGGATACGAGCTTCTTCCAGGCACGTGGTGTGTATGGCTTGATGTGCTTTTTATAGGTTGTAAAGGCGGGGCTACGCACGGTTTCGGAGGAGGCAGAGGAGGTAGCTTCCGAATAGTGATCTCAAGCATGTGAAGAGTGGGAATTCGTGGATTTTGCACAGGCGAGTGCGTTACAATACCAGGTTTTGGTAGTAGGTGTTTGAGCTTGAGGACGCGCTTTAACGGGAAGGGGCGAATAGTCATTAGGTCGGGGGGTGTGGAGCGAGATGTGTTCTCATTTTCGATTGTAGCACCGGATAGGGGCTAGTAAGATACTGCATCCGACATCACAGGGATGAATTTTTTGGTGCAAATGGGGTCAGAGGAGGCACAAGCGGTTGTCCAAGGGTAGAATTGGAGGGCTCATGGTCATGAACAAGAGATGCAGGACTGAAGGCCGTTGTGGGGGTCTGTGTGGGATTTGGACGCAAGTAGACATCATGGTATGGCGGGCTCAGGCGAGGAGCGATTCCAGGATAATGGGCGTAGGGGAGGGGATCTGTGCTGCAGCTTCGAGCTTTAGAGGATAAGGGGTCAGCTCCGGCATTTGGAGGGGTGGCTGCGATTCCGATCGGTTTAGAACAGGCTACACTGACGTCAGGTACAGGGGTGTCCAACGGAACTGGGTGGGGTTGTGAAGGAGATCGGACCAGTTGACAGGCTTGGTAAGTCGTTGGTTGAATCTGGTGTTCTCTGACAGCTATATGCGGATGTATCATCGGCGATATGACTTGAGCAACCTTCCGAGGGTTTGGTTTCATGAGTAGTCTGCTACTGAGTCACATCGGGAGCATTTAGTGGTACGGATTGCTAGACAGAATATTGATTCGTTTGATGTTTATCAGCAGCAGGCTGTAGAAGTTTGGAGAGTGGGTTTCTTTTGAGCTGCCTTTGTGGTCTGGTGCAAGCAGTCTTGACCTTTACGGTCTGGAATGTCTGGGTCGAAGACAGCAAGGCCTGGGATGTTAACAGGCGCGTTGCATCGTCTTCATCTTTGAAGTGCATTAACATTGGGCAACGCAGGGAGGATTTCGATTTTCGCAACCGTCGGGTGTACAGACTGGGTCATGCATGTTACACGCACGCGGCTTTTGTGCGTTCCATCGGGATGCGGTCGGGGACAGTATATAGTAAGACCTGCTTTCGGCATACTCTAACGCCGATCAATCTCCGAGATGAGTGTGTCAATAAATACTGACGCTTTTGCAAGATCTGATGGATTACACATTGCATCAGGAGTTAGAAGGCAGACAGGATATGAGTTTGTTCTCCATCTTATGCGCACGAGCACTGAGAGAGTTTGCTCCCCATCTTATGCGGACGAGCACTGAGATTCGCCATGTCGGTGTGGAGCTCAGATTCTTTTGATGAAGAGGAGGGAAGGCAGCTACCTGGAGCGGCAAGAAGGGAAATGTCAGTTAGTACAGCTGAGCGGGTTGAATTAAACTGGGACAATCCATCGACCGGCCTTGAAGGATGATGAGGTTTAGTGTTATGCCTTTTGCCTGCAAGCGGCTTCTTTGGACACAATGACGGGAAGGATGATGGGGAATCAGGGTCTAGCAAGCGCTTATAGGAAGACGGGACTGGTGGCATTGTTTGATTCAAATCAGACAATAATAAGCTAGCAAGCTTATACTCAGTGAGGCCTAATCAAGCTAGAAAGAGTTGGAGGGGTGGTTGGGTTTGATTGAAAAATAAGTAGCTAGATGCTATACTAGAGTGAGTATAACGCCACGGTGAGGCTAGGGTCCCAAAGAACTTTTTCTACAACAACTGACCTTGAGATTCAAATGAGTATGAGTATAAGGAGTATGAGCATGGAGGAACTTCGCTCAGCGTTGGACCACAAAAATCCTGCAAAACATCCTGCCCGTGCTCTCTATCGGCTAACGCTTTCACAATTATTGGAAATCCTGCCACCTTTTCCGAGGAGATCAAGGATCTTGGCCCCATACTCCTGAAATTTTACCAGCGGGTACAGTTTCAGGTTGCCAGAGCACACAGGCTCAGCTTTTAATACTGCGCTCCTTTCACCTTCCAGACACAATGGTTGCAAGTTTTAAGCTATGCGTAAGGCCGATCGTGAAATTCAGTTCAGCACTCTCCTTCTCTTACCTTCAAAGCAGCGTGAAAGTGTCCAACGATCAATCACGAAAAACTGTTCCGTCAATTAAGCCCCCTTTCTTACCGCTCCGCCGTTAAATCCTAGGCCTTGAAAGACTATGGCCCAGACTGTTAAATTGAATCTAACTCTCTTACTCCATTTGCTGCACAAAACCCTCTCTACAGCAAACGCAAACTGATGACTTCACTACGGGCAGCTCAACTCCTGCAAACTCTTGGTGCATCTTCCAGCTCGTACAAACCTACGCCACTACTTCCTTCTAGTTTATTACGCTCGCATCTAGAAAAGCCTTCCTGGGCAGCTGCGAAACATCACGCATCATCATACTTTTTCCCAGCTCATAGAAAAAATCCATACCTTTGAAACTGCTGCCGCTTTACTTAATACCCAAATACCCCCTGACCTCCTCTGCGAATCAGGTCCCGTGCGCATGAGCTTAGCGACTTTACAGTTAGTGGGCAATTAAATGATCCTGTTATCATTTTTCCTATCCTCTTGACTCGCTTCAAGCTAATGTAGGGCTCTCATGCCCACCTGATCTAGATACGCAGTGTTACTGGCCCAGTTTTTTTCATTTTTCATCCTCCCACAGCCAACTTACACCTCGTACTGGTCTAGTCCCTACACCGGATTGTTCGATCAACTCTATCTAGCAAACATTGCTCTCAGCCAAACTCTACGGACAGAAACCAAACCAAAGTTATCTCTTTCTTCTCCAAGTAACCGTATGACTTGAGCGCCTACTAAATCTAAGTAAGCCCTGTTACTGGCCTGGCTGTTCTTCTTTTTCCTCAACTAATTTTTACCTCGTCCCAGGCAAGTCCCTACTCCGGATTACTCTATCAGCTCTGTCCAGTGACTGTCTCTCAGCCTTACTCTAACTGATAAAAACCAAACCAAATTCAGCTTTTTTCTTCATATTCAGAGCGCATTCTGCGCTTATATATACATCCACCTGCTGATTTGCCACACTAATCATTCTCACACGCAGCATTGTGGTACGCTTCTGCTCGGCATGGTAGCTCACACCAACGCTTCGAAGCCGTTTAGCCATGTTTTATTCGCCCTGAATATCACCATCTTATTCCCACCGTCGCATTGGCAGCCGCGACTTGCCTTTACCGGCGTCTGTATGCTGGTTGCTTGTTCAAATCGACTAAGCTGTCTTTACTGGCCTTGCTTGTCCCCGAACAAAAAATGGTTGCTGGAGTATCTATTAGAGCACAAACCGCATTCGTGTCTGCTCGGATGGTTTCCCACCTTTCAGATCTGGTGGCATGCACGAGGGACGAAAACTTCGTGTGGTGGACGGAGACCGCCCTGCAGGGAGGGTCGTCATATCACGTTGCACCATGGTGCGTTCATATACCCGCCTCCCCTTCATTAGCAAAAGTGCGTCGCCCATCGCTGGTGGTTCTGAGCCTGTCCTTTGAATTTGGGGAATCAAAGAAAGCACTGCTGACTTCTGTTTGTTGCTGCTGGTGTTGGACTCGCCTCGGTTGAGTTATGTATCTGGCAGCGCCATGAACCACAGATGGAAAAACTGGCCTCTAATCCCTCAAAAAATTAACAAAGGTAAAAACCGAAATGCATCTGGGCTAACCTGAAGATACTGTGCAATGTCCACGGCCTACATCGACGAGTATAGCTGATTCTGCCTCCGTCAGAACAGAAGCTACACCGCACCAAAGCCCACTTCTTTAACCAATCAAAGAACACA